GAAATGGACTCAAGATTTAGGTGGCAGAAGTAAGGCAGAGCTTTTGACTGTTGCCAGCCAGCTTCGTTCCTTTTTTCTTTTTCTGTTTTTTATTCCTTCCGGTCCCTGGTCTTGTACTCAAGGCCTAGGCTCTATCCCTGAACCTCTCTTTGCTCAAGGCTAGCACCACTTCCAGCTTTTCTGTTTATGAGGTACTGAGGAATCGAAACCAGGGCTTCATGCATGCTAGGCAAGCACTCTACCACTGAGTCACCTTCCCAGCCCCGAGCTTCGTTCTTTTAACTCTTACTGGTTTTTGTTTGTGTTTGCAACAACCTTCCAATGCACAATCATTGGTTCTATGAGTGTAAAGGGTGTGTCTGATTAGTGGTTCCCAGACCTTGAATTGAACTACAGAGGCATGTTAGAGTCCCAGTTGAAATGGCAGTCTTTGGATTCCCCACGGGACTGATAGGGTAAAAGTTACAGCTTCCTGGTGGGCCAGACCCAAATCTCTGTTCACCCTCTACTTGCCTCTCCCCTCTCCCTTTTTCTTCTTCTTAGAATGATACCCAACCATTCACCCAAATATTCAGAATAAATGCCTACCTAGGAGTTCTTCATTCCTTAACTTATTCGGTCTCCCACATACAATCCCCCCTTCTAGTCCTGTTGGATATGTAGCTAATACATACTGCAATCTGGGTCCTTCTCATCCAGGTCCAAGCTACCTTTTTGTATCTAAGCTGAAGTATTAGATTCCCTATTTCCTGTGTTGCACCTTGATGGTTCACTTTTTTATACAGCTGTAGAACTAAAATCAATCCAGATAACTTATACTATCGCTTAAAGCTTTAAGCAGCCTTTATTGCATTTAGAATTCAAATCCTTAGTGTGGTCCAGGAGGCTTTATGATCGGACTTTATCTCTGTTAGGATCCAACCTGGCCGCCCCAGAGGACCACGAGGAGGCAGACAGGCACTGGAGAAAGAATATTATAAGGTTTACTAGAGGGGCCATGTCTCCCCCGGGAGAGGGAGCAATATGGCGTCTGCCCCTATCCATGTGGGTATAGCTTTGGGGCTAGTCAGGAGGTAAGTGCACAGGTCTGGGTGGAGAATGGAATGGCCAGTATATAGCAGGAACTCTAGGGCAGGGAGGAGCTCAGGTCTGTCTGGGTGGAGCTGAGGACCCAAGATGGGGATAAAGCTAAGAGTCTCTTTTATGGTTCCTTTGCTCACAGTGCTTTGGCCATTCCCTGGCCTTGCAGTTGCAATTATTGTCATTATAGTCTCTTTCTCTCTGAAAGCTCCTGGAGCTGAGTTCTCTCCTTTTTTAGTGCAGTCATCCCTTGCTTCTCCACGGGGGATATATCCCAAGACGACTAGTGAATGCCTGAAAATGTGAATAATACCACCCTATGCATACTTTAATATCTCTGATAAAGTGTAATTTTTGTGTGTGCTGGTACCAGGACTTGAAATCGGGGCCATCTACCTTTGCTTGTCTTTTTTGCTCATACTTCCACTTTTAATTTTTGCTCATTAAATTGATGAATCTCATGAATTTTTTTTTTTTTTGCCTGCACTGGCTTTGAACTGTGATCCTTAGATCTCAGCCCACTAAGTAGCTAGCATTAAAGGCATGTGCCACCAGTACCTGGCCTAAAGTTTATAAAGTAGGCACAATAAGAGATTAATAATAATAGTGATAATAAAATAATTCATGTACCATCATACACGTTCCTTATGAATTGTTCATTTCTGATTGGTCAGACTCCCTGCCCACATTTCTTTGCCTAGCCTTTCATTATTCTCAAGCCTATGTCCTATCTCTGCCTACTATACCTCTTTGTAGGTTGTGAGCCCAGAGCTGCCCTTGGGTAGCTCCTTCTTTCTAGTACATCATTTGGGGTTACCTAATCCACAGACTTGTCCACAGAGTCAAGTGCAGTTTCCTCAGCTCCTTGCTCTGTTATTCCTAAAGCTTTAGGGCAAATCTTAAAGATTTAGAAGTGCCAGGCACTGGTGACTCATACCTGTAATCTTAGCTACTCAGGAGGCTGAGATCTGGGGATCATAGTTTGAAGCCAGCTTGGGCAGAAAAGTCTCTAAGACTCTTCTCTCCATTTAACCACTAGAAAACAGGAAGTGGCACTGTGGCTCAAAGTGGTAGACCACTAGTGTTGAGTGAAAAAGCTCAGGGACAGCGCCCGAGGCTCTGAGTTCAAGCCCAGTGATTCACAACAATAAATAAAGATTTAGAAGAAGAATAAGGAAAAGTTGCAAAGGTCTTCTGTCTGTGGTTTCTCCTAACTCCAGCTGAAAGGGACCCAAGTAGCTTATAATAGAGATAAAGGTCAAGGTCTTCCTTTGCAAAAGAACAAAAAAGCAAAGAAGCGGAGGGCCAGTTCAAACCTTACTAGTCTGTGGAGACCCTTTCCTCTAACATTTTTTCTTCCATCTCTGATTTCTTGTTCTCTGCTCCACTATTGCATCTGGGAGGAATGTCTCAAAGTCCAGTGTGTGGGCTGGGAATGTGGCTTAGTGATAGAGTGCTTGCCTAGTATGCATGAAGCCCTGGGTTCGATTCCTCAGTATCACATAAACAGAAAAAGCTGGAAGTAGCTCTGTGGCTCAAGTGGTCGAGTGCTAGCCTTGAATAAAAGAAGCTCAGGGACAATGCCCAGGCCCTGAGTTCCAGTCCCAGAACTATGTACCTCTCCCTCCTCTGCTAGGTAGAGGATATTGTGATTTGAACTTCCACTTCAGGGTCCCCATAGTCTGCTAGTGAAGCTCAATTTGAACAATAGGTATATTGCGCTTGGTACAATCATGCCTATAAGAGGAGGATTTTTCTGACTTCTTTAGACCAGAAACGGGAATGGGACATGACTGGATTACCGGGGGCTCAAGACCTCCAGTCTTAAACAATTTCTTAAAAAATCTGGTAACCTTGGGCGCCCCCCTGTGGCTCTAAGTGGAGTGTATCCCCAATTACCTTTGGGGAAAGAGAGCAGGGTGGCAGGAGAGGAGGAAATCCTTTGTTGCTGCACTCCCCAGAATGGGCTGGCCCACCCACCAGCAATAACCATGTCTCAGGGCTTGGCCAAAACCAGTTGTATTGGAAAGTGCACTGTTAATAGGATCTGCACAATAACCTTTGGAGGACCCTGCTCTGGCAACCCCTAAGATGACCCTAGGTACTGTTCTTACTCCATAAGGCCAAAGACCACTCACTTCCAACACTTGGGGATGATAGAGATATGGTAGGTCACACCCCATTTCATATTTATAGCCACTTCCCAAGGTAAGCTTTCCAATTGCATTTGTGGTTCTCCTTTGGCTCCAGAACCATCCCATTCATCTTGTCAAGCTGTTCTGGGCCAGCAGGTGGCTAGTGTACAGCAGAAGGCCTGAGGTGTATAGGACTCTGTTGTCCACAAAGGTGACCCTTCTTAACATCAATACTCATTATGGGATTGACCACAGAAGCCTTGGTCTATTTCTCAGTTTTCATAGTTCTACACTTTCTACATTCAGATTGCTTCTTCAAGTCATCTAGCACTACACTGAATTTCTCCATGGAGCTTGGCTTTCTCTGGAGCAATTCAACTTCTTTCATGGACTTTGGGTTCTACTTAGAGGCCTAGAAAATATTTGCATTAGCATTAAAAATGCCCTTCTCCCTCAGACCTAGCTGTGACCTCATGGAAGTTACAAACAAGAATGATCCTGCCTGCCCTGCCTTTGTAAAGAGGTTGCGTGCAGACTGATCTCCTGTGTTAAAGTGTGTGTGTCGGGGGGGGGGGGGAAGGGCGTCCATGTGGGCAGTGTCAAGTGTCTGTGCAGTGCCATGTATGTAATTCTTTTTTTTTTTTCCAGTCATGGGGCTTGAACTCAGTGCCTGATTGCTGTCCCTGAGGTTTTTTGCTCAAATCTAGCACTCTACCACTTTGAGCCACAGCACCACTTCTTATTTTCTGGTGGTTAACTGGAAATAAAAGTCTCAGACGGGGTGCTGGGAAGGTGGCTCAGCAGTAGAGTGCTTGCCTAGCATGCAAGAGGCCTGAGTTTGATTTTTCAGCACCACATAAACAGAAAAGGCTGGAAGTGGCACTGTAGCTCAAGTGGTAGAGCTCTAGCTTTGAGCTGAAGAGCTCAGGGACAGTGCCTAGGCCTAGAGTTCAAGCCCTATGACTGACCCAAAAAAAAAAAAAAAGTCTCATGGACTTTCCTGCCCAGGCTGGCTTTGAACTGTGATCCTCATATCTTAGCCTCTGGAGTAACTAGGATTACAGGCATGAGCCACCAGCACCGGGCTGTGGTTTAGTTCTTACTGAGTTTAGAGACCTGTGTTCCAATTGGCCTTGAAGGACCTTTCTGATCTTGTTTTTTGTTTTGTTTTTTTAATAACAATACTGAGACTTAAATTTACTGGGTGTTTTTCTGTAGCTTTTCTACTCAAGACTGGCCCTCTATCACTTGAACCATATCCCTACTCCCAGCTTTTTGGTGGTTAATTGGACTTTCCTACTCAGGGTGGAACTTTGATCTTCAGATCTCAGCCTCCTGAGTAGCTAAGATTATAAGCGTGAGCCATGTGCGCCTGGCTTGGATCCTGTTTTTAATGATTAGGTTGTGGGGGTTGGGTCCTCAGGGCTGTCTGAGCTCTGTCCTGCTCTGATACTCAGCTTGAGCACAAGGCCTTGTGCTACTGGTTTTACTGCCTAACCTGGCTTCTGGGTCTTTGTTCCCATGGGTCATCCACTTCCCACACCAACATTTTGTACTTGCACTGCTGCTCATCCAAGCACTGGAATTTGGCATTTTGGAAATTGTGTTGCTCACTGGAAACACAGGAAGCTTGAACATGAAACTCATAACTGAAAAGAAAAAAAAATAACTACGCACACAAAAAAGCAAGAAACCACAGAGCCTATCAGCCTGTCGTCATGGAGCAGACTAGAGTAGTGCAGAAAACTCTAGGCAGAGAGGAAATGAACTTGAGAGAAGGGGGAACACAAGCTGAGAAGAGAGAGGAGAGAGAGAGAGCGGGGGAGAGCTGGAACCCAGGGGGCCATGGTCAGGATGGAGGAGGTGGCCGTGAAGCAGGGTTTCCTGTACCTTCAGCAGCAGCAGACTTTTGGCAAGGTGGGCACAACAGGACTGGGCTGGGCTGGGCAGAGCTCTTAGCTGAGGGGAGAGATTCCTGGGGCGAAGGGGGATTTTTATGCCCTGGAATGCTTGTGTGTGGGACCATGTCTTCTTGCAAGTTAGACGAGAACCTTGGGATGGCTTCTTCCTTACAGATATTTGGCCCTCAAACTAGGCCAGGAATTGGGTTCTTTTGGGTTCTTTCCCTAAGGACTGTTTGTCCTAGGGTGGAGTGGGAGGAGGAGGGGAGGAAGGAGGTGCTGACTTAATCTATTGTTGTCTTGATCTCTCTTTGGGACAATTTAGGAGGGCTGAGTTAGGGAGGTAATCTGGGATGATGGTGGTGGTTTGTCTCCCCCCTTTACATCCAGTCTCCTCCTCCTTCCCTGGCCTTTTTGAATTGAGGAAGTACCCTCCCCCGCCTCTGCCTCCCAACTCTGAGTCCGTGTCTGTCCCCCCAAACCCCCAACTTGTCAAAGGTGAGGCCCAATGGTTCGGGAGGATGGAGGGATGTTCCTGGAGCTAGGACTTTCCTCAGGTCTTCTCACCGAATGAGAAGGAGGCCTCTGGTCTAGACTGTCTCTTCTCACTCCTCTGGGTTTCTGTGACTCTGGCTTTTCTCCTCAGACCTATCTGCCAGGTCTTCCTTCCTTCCTTCCTTCTTTCCTTCCTTTCTTCCTTTCCTCCTTCCTTCCTCTTCCTTCTTGGGCTCATGACTGATCTTCTAAGTCCTACAATCTTTGTTATCCCTGCCTCCCCGGCTCTGCTGTGATCATTGCCTTTCTCTCCCCATCCCCATCATCCCTGTTCCTCCTTCATGGTTCCTCTGTTCCCCTTTAGTCAGTCACCCTCTCTCTCCATCACTGGGTGGCTTCCTCTTGACCTGTATCTCCTGTGCCTGGGCTTAGAAGTGGCGCCGGTTTATGGCTGTGCTGTATGGAGAGTCTGGATGCTCCCTGGCTCGATTGGAGCTCCAAGATGGTCCAGAGAAGTCCCGTCGAGGAGAGACCACCCGCAGGGTTCTCCGACTCAGTGACTGCCTGCGGGTGGCCGAGGCGGGTGGGGAGGCCAGCAGCCCCCGGGACACCAGTACTTTCATCCTGGAGACCAAGGAGCGCCTGTACCTGCTGGCAGCCCCCACTGCGGAGCGTGAGGACTGGATGCAGGCCATTTGCCGCCTGGTCTTCCCTGTGAGTAGTCCAGGGTGTAGGGAGAGAGCAAGGAAGTGTTCACAGAAGGACAGCCTTCGGTACTTCCTGTGGGGCGGCGGTAAAAAGAGTCACAGTGTCAGGCACCAGTGGCTCACGCCTGTAATCCTAGCTACTCAGGAGGCTGAGATCTGAGGATCAAGGTTCAAAGCCAGCCCAGGCAGTTAAGTCTGTGAGACTCTTATCTCCAATAAACCACCAGAAAACCAGAAGTGGCTCTGTGGTTCAAGTGGTAGAAGGCTTGCCTTGAGCTGAAGAGCTGAGGGACAGCGCCCAGACCCAGAGTTCAAGCTCCATGACTGACAAAATTAAATTAAATTAAAATTAAATGAAAAGAGTCACAGTCAGGATGCTGGTTGCCTACTTGGTGGATGACCCCAGTCAGGCCCAGCAGCCAGAGTGAGTGTGCTTCAGACAGGGGTCTTGGGGTGGGTATTGGTGGTGACACCACCAATAGGAACTCCTCCCTAGGCACAGAGGAGGGAGTCACCGGGCCCGGAGGGGATGAGTGGCAGGCCCTGCATGGAGGAGAATGAATTGTACGGCAGCTCAGCTACAGGTGAGGGGTGGGGACTGCAGGGCTTGTCTCTGGTGTGTGGTTGGGTGGAGGTGTGGGGCAGCCCTGCTGGCCAAGTCTTCCTGCCTTGTGGCTTTCTGACCCAATGGAGCTCCCTTATCAGTGTCTGCTGCTGGCTTCCGCCCTAGGCGCACCCACCTTGCCACGCTGGTGGGAGAGGGTGAGGCTGAAGACCTAGCTGAAGGTATTGCTTGTGACTCTCTCCCAGTGGGAAGGGAACAACTGCATGAAAAAAAAGAATTGCTTTCTGTCTGGGCTTGGGCCTGGCTGTGCAGGAGAGCTGTTGGCTGGCCAGGCCGTCTTTGCTCTTGTGGCCTCTGTGCCCTCTGCACTGGGTGGAGGGGACAATGGAGAAGCTGTACCCACAGACAGAAGCAGTGGGAAGGCAGGCAATGCTAGACTTCACGTGCAGATTTCTCAGAGGGACTAGGGATGTAGCTGTTTCTGAGAGAGATGAGATGGAGAAGACCGGCCTGAGGCTCTGGCAACAGTAGCAGGAAGGATGTGGGCCTGAGGCTGAGTGATGGCTTGCTATGGAGGGGGTGGGGATACCTGGTACTTGGGGGAGTGGCCTGATGCCCAGCAGCCCAGCCTTTCACACCCAGGCAGGGGTGATGGGGACATAGATAACAGTCTTCCCAGAGAACTTCTAGCATGCTTATTTTATTATTTTTTTTTATTTTTTGGGTCCAGTCGTAGGCCTGAACTCTGGGTCGGGGAGCTGTCCCTGAGCTCTTCAGCTCAAGGCTAGCACTCTACCACTTGAGCCACAGCGCCACGTCAGGCTTTTTTTCTTTTTGCTTATGTGGTGCTGAGGAATCAAACCCAGGGCCTCATGCATGCAAGGCAAGCGCTCTACCACTGAACCACCTTCCCAGCCCCTAGCATTTTTATTTATAAATTTTTTTTTCTGTCAGTATTGAGGCTTGAACTCAGGACCTGAGTACTGTCCCTTAACTTTTTGGGTCTAGGCTAGCAGTCTACCATTTGAACCACAACTCCATTTTTGACTTTTTGGTGGCTCATTGGAAATAAGAGTCTCATGGGCTCTCCTGCCTGGGGTGATTTCGAATTGAGGTCCTCAGATCTCAGCCTCTTGAGGAGCTCAGGTTATATGTGTGAGCCTCCAGTGCCTACCCAGCTTTCTGCATGATTCTTTAAAACAGGGCAATGTGGAGGAAGACCAGCTGTTTCCTGCTAGCCGCCTCCTCTTTCCTCTCCTCCCCAGGGGCCTTCCCTAAGAAATTTGCTGTGACCGTAAGACCCACAGAAGCCAGCGAGCGCTGTGGGCTCCGAGGGTCCTATACTCTCGCGGCTGGAGAGAGTGCCCTGGAGCTGTGGGGTGGGCCAGAGCCTTGCTCCCAGCTGTACGATTGGCCCTACAGGTTTCTGCGGCGCTTTGGGAGGGACAAGGTGAGTGAGGGGCTGTGTTGGACAGTGGAGAGAAGGATCCGCTCTGAAAGAAGAAAGGAAAGGAAGAGGAGGAGGAGGAGGAGGAGGAGGAGGAAGGGAAGGTAGAGAGGAAGTCAAAAAGGAGGAGCCCTGGAAGGAACCGCAGGGAGGGAGTGGGAATGCAAGCCAGAGGCACGTGGTTGATTAGGAGGGAGAGGAGGTAGAGAAGGAAGAGTAACAGAGGGCAAGAGGGACAAAAAGCTGAGGAGCAGGTTCAGAGAGTCTGGTGGAAGGAGGCTGGACCCATATATATTTGGGGATAGAGGGAGCAATAATACCCTATATCATCCAATAATCTCTTTCCTGTCTGGCACTGATGGCTCATGCCTGTAATCCTAGCTACTCAGGAGGCTGAGACCTGAGGATCAAGTGGTTCAAAGCCAGCTCAGCAGGAAAATCCATGAGATTCTTATCTCCAGTTAACCACAAAAAGCAAGAAGTGATGCTGTGGCTCAAATGGTAGAGTGTTAACCCTGAGCACAAAAGCTCTGGGATAGTGCCCAGGCCCAGAGTTCAAGCCCCTGGAAACAAGCCAACCAAAACCAAACAAACAAAAAGCTTTGAACAAACAAAAACTATGGCTGGGCACTAGTGGCTCATGCCTGTAATCCTAGCTGCTCAAGAGGCTGGGATCTGAGGATTATGGTTCAAAGTAGACTCTTTTTTTTTTTGGGTCCGGTCGTGGGCCTGAACTCTGGGCCTGGGCGTTGTCCCTCAGCTCTTCAGCTCAAGGCTAGCGCTCTAACACTTGAGCCACAGCGCCACTTCCGGCTTTTTTCTTTTTGCTTATGTGGTGCTGAGGAATCGAACGCAGGGCCTTGAGCATGCAAGGCAAGCGCTCTACCACTGAGCCACCTTCCCAGCCCTCAAAGTAGACTCTTATCTCCAGTTAACCACCTGAAAACTGTAAGTGGTGCTGTGGCTCAAGTGGTAGAGCACCAGCCTTGAGCTGAAGAGCTGAGGGATAGTGCCCAGGCCCTCAGGTCAAGCCCCGTGACTGACAAAAACAAAAACAAAACAACAACAACAAAAATACAGCACCCCCCAAACAATCTCTTTCCTCTCCTTCACAGGTAACCTTTTCCTTTGAGGCCGGCCGGCGGTGCCTCTCTGGCGAAGGCAACTTTGAGTTTGAAACCCGCCAAGGCAATGAGATCTTCCAGGCCCTGGAAGAGGCCATTGATGCGCAGAAGAATGCCCCCCCTCCTGCGCTTGCACCTCCGCCAGCCACAGTGCCCGTGGTGCCTGCCAAACTACCCCAGCTAGAGAGCCCCTATTCCTGCCCCCACGACTCGCTGCCCTCTCCTTCGCCCTGCACAGCACAGCCCCGGGGGCCTGAGGGGGAGTACGCAGTGCCCTTTGATGCCCTGGAGAAGAACTTCAGGGGCATCCTGGCAGGCACTGCCCCACGTGGGGCCGACCCACTGTACGACAGCATTGAGGAGCCCATGGCTTTCCCACACGACCACATATATGATGAGCCCGAGGGCCTGGGTGCCCTGTCCCTGCACAACAGCCCACGGGAGCCCCGGGGGGAGGTGTGGGGCAGGCAGGCCCCGGCGGATGGCAACCCCGGTGTCCTCCAGCAGGAGTCTTCTGTCTCTGGCTGGCCACAGGGAATGGAGTATGACAATGTTGTACTTAAGAAAGGTCCAAAGTGACGGGGTGCCACGCTGAAGCGTACCCCAGGGAGTGGAGCATCGAGCTGGGGAAGTGGAGGGATGGCTGCCTCCTTTTCCAGCTTCTGCTGCTGAATCCTCCTGGTCAGTGCACTGGAGGCCCCTCCCTGTGTCCCTTCTGGGGCTCCAAGGCCCACTGGTGAGTCACCAGCCCAGAACCGGAAGAACAGTCTCTAGAGACCCACCCTACTTCTCCTGTCTTTCCACTTCCTCCTCTCCCACCCCCATCCTCCTCTCTACCCTGGTTCCCTGACTTGGCCAGGCCTCCTGCTTACTGATGTTCCTTTTGCTGGGACAGCCTTGCTCTAGGCACCCACGAGGGTGGCCGCAGCTTTTTGTGACTTCAAGTTTCTCTGCAGCATTAAAACATGTCTGCACTATTTCTGTGTGGTACTGTGGGTTGGGATGAATTTCCAAATGACCACATTTGCTTGTCTAGCATCATGGTTTTCCCTGGGCTTAGCCTGGGGGCTGAGCATCAGAATTCACAGTCCTCCAGATCCAGTTGTTCATCTTCCAAAGCCCCCCCCTCCCCACCAATATTACATATCAATTTTGAGATTGTCTAGCACATGGAAATCGAGGGACATATTCAAACCATGACAATGTTCATGAATGCCATTCACTTTGCTAAGACGGGGACAATACCAGAAAACTGGTGGGAAGAGGCATAGTTAGAGATTAAAAAAAATACCAGACTCCTGGAAAGGAAAGAATTGGAGGTATTTATTTTATTTTATTTTTGTCAGTCATGGGGCTTGAACTCTGGACCTGGGCGCTGTCCCTCAGCTCTTCAGCGTAAGGCAAATGCTCTACCACTTGGCCACAGCGCCACTTCTGGTTTTCTGAGTGGTTTATTGTAGATAAGAATCTCTTGGAGTTTCCTGTCATGCTGGCTTTGAAAAGTGATCCTCAGATCTCAGCCTCCTGAGTGGCTAGGATTACAGTCACTGATGCCTGGCTTAAGAATTGGGGGTATTTATGAAGCCTCATGTGCATTAGGAAGGAGATATACCAGTTAGATGGCCTGTGACCAGCTCTCCTTACCTTGGGACTCTTTGTAACCTGATGGAGTAGCTGTAATTCTCCCCAAGTTTTTGGGTCTGGTTTTCCCATAGGCTTTTTGTGTCCACGTCTCTCTCGTCATTGAAACTTGTGCTTATGGCAAAGAATATCCATACACACCTGTTATCAGCCAGGCAATTGTGGAGTGCCATGTGTATAAAACTGTGTACTACCCTGGCCTCAAGGTGTGCACAGCTCAGAAAGGCAGAGGTGGCACAGAGGTTTGTCCTGAGAAGGGGACATAAATGTCACAGAGGTAAAATGGCTCTGGGCTTCCAAGGAGGCAACTCTGTTAGAAGACCATGAAAAGCTTCATCTTGAAGGTGATATTTAAGTGGGGTGAAGAGGATTTTGATGGAGCTTGAGGGGAGTATGAAGATTACATTCTGGGACAAATTATCTGAATGGAACTATGGCAGTGGAAAGTAATTCTGCACTGAGTAGAAAGAAGGCATCGTAATCTGCAGACAGTCCCTGATTTACCATGGTTTCACTGATGATTTTGACTTGGTGATGATATGAATGGAAGCAGGCATCAGAAGACGCACACTTTGCATTTTGTCCTTTTCTCTAGGTGTAACTGTGATTCCTTCTCAAGGCTGAGAAGTAGCAGTGAGCTGCAGCTCCCTGTCAACCTGGTGCACCCTCAATTGGTGTTACATAGATTGGTGTGTCATGTTATTTTGTGGTCTGTGTGTGTGTGTGGGGGCTTTTTCACTCAAGGCTGGCTTTCTACTACTTGAGCCATATCTCCACTATTGGCTTTTTGCTGGTGAATTAGAGGAAAATGCCATATAGATTTTTCTTCCTAGGCTGATTTGACTAGTGATCAATCCTCAGATCTTAGCTTCCTGAGTAGCTAGGATTCCAGGTGTGAGCCACTAGTGCTTGGCTGTGTTACCACCTTCTTCCTCTTCTTCCTCTTCCTCTTCTTCTTCTTCCTCTTCCTTCTTCTTCTTCTTCTTCTTCTTCTTCTTCTCTTCTTCTTCTTCTTCTTCTTCTTCTTCTTCTTCTTCTTCTTCTTCTTCTTCTTCTTCTTCTTCTTCTTCATTTCAACTCATGATGCGCTACTACACCACAACTCCTCTGAGGTTGGACAGTGTGGTTGGGGGGAAGGAGGCCTCCTAGCCAAAGGCTTTGAAACAGGAAATCTCATAGGAGCAGAGCTTAGGAAAATAACTCCACAGCCCAGTGGAAGTTAGAATTTGTGTGGCAAGTGTAGGTAAAGGAGACTGAAGGGAAGAGACTCAGAGAAGACCATAGTAGCTCCTTCAAGCATGGAATCGTTTAAGAGAGGGTGGGTTTCCAGAGACTCAGGTTTGAGACTAAGGGGAATGCTGATGTTACGATGATGGTGGCATGCCCAGCTAGCATAGGCCTGGAGGAAGTTCAGAGCCTCCAGCTGTGTGGCCACTTAGGTTTTGCCATATACCATGGTTGTTCTATTTATTGAAGTAATTTGAGCATGGTAGGTGTGGGGCTTTCCAATCCAAATATCAGGATTCATGAGAGCTGGGAAGCAAAATACCTTCAAGGAATTGGTGGTGGTGGTGTGTGTGTGTGAGGGGGGGAGTTTGGGAAAGGTGTGAGGGGTGTGTGGGGGAAGTTTGGCGCCTTGGCTAATTCCTCAGGTGGAACCTGAGGTAGTCATCCAGGATCAGCCCAGCAGGGGGCAGTGTAAGTCTATGGAAAAGGCCACCAGGGGTTTAGCAGTGCTAAGAGTGGTGGGGCCTGGTTCAGAGGGGGAAGCGGGGGGTGGGGCTTTGCTACCTGAAGGGGTTGGAGAGTGGTATGAGCAATCTGTGTTTTAGAGCCTCTGCAGACTGCCAGGATCCCATTCTGGGAGTGTGAAAATGACTTCAAGCAGTGGGATCCTAAGCTGAACCCTGCTCCTGCCACCCATTGTCACCTTCAAGATCCAAGACTCTGGTTGTTCCACTCTCGGTCATCATGGCTTGAAAAGAGGAAGTGGTGGACAGTTGTTCTGGGGAAAGGTGGAGCAAAGGCTGTCCAGCAGGGGAAGTAGAGTGTTTGGGGAAGCTGGGAGGGGTAATGAAAGTCTTTAGAAGGTTGTTGAGGAAACGCTGATCAGGCCTTCAGGGCCCCTCAAAAGACCTGATCCAGTGAGCTGGACATCTGCAGAAAACCATCTGAGCCACGCAGCCAGCCTCAGCTGCATCTCTGTCGCTTACAACAGGTACACAGGTCATTTCTTCATTCAGCAAATACAGCAGAGCACTTCCCACATTCTAGCCACCCCTCCCCACCTCATCCCCCTACAACCTGGGGTTTTAGGGATTTCACAGGTCTGGGCCCACCTTCTGGAGCCCGCAGCATGTTATGGAATGCAGGAAGTCTTCACTGGTGGATGGATGCGAAGTCTAGTTTGACAGAGCACCTGCTTCTGGCTGACACATGTTGGAGGTGAAGTTCCTTCTAAGGATTCCAGGCCAGCCAGTGGCAGGAACAGGCTCATAGGTAAGGACACAGACTCACCTTAAAGGGGCAGAGCAATGGGAACATTCCAACCAGAAAGGATCTCTTAGTTGTGACCAGGACATGTATAAAGTGTTTTTGTCAGCTAATAACAGTCACATGTTGCCTAACAATGGAAAAATGTGCTGAGAAAATCATCATTAGGCATTCTCTCTCTCTCTCTCTCTCACTTTTTTTTTATTGTTGTTGATGGTCATGGAGCTTGAACTCTGGGCTAGGGCACTGTCCCTGTGCTCTTCAGCTGAAGGCGCATGCTCTACCATTTGAGCCACAGAACCACTTCTTGTTTTCTGGTGGTTTATTGGAGATAAGAGTCTCACGAAATTTCCTGCCCGGGCTGGCTTTGAACCATGGTCCTTAGATCTCAGCCTCCTGACTAGCTAGAATTACAGGCATGAGCCTGCTATCATTTTCATGATTCTACCTACTCCACAATGAGGGTTGATACATGCAATGTGTTACATATATGCATATGTAACATATACTTTGCATATGAGTGGCATCTTACTACTCCTAGATCACAAACCTGTGTAGCTTGTCCCTGTTCTGAAAACTGCAGGCAATTGTAACACAATAGTATTTATGTACTTAAATCTATCTAAATATACAAAGGGAATAGTAAAATACCAGCAGTAGGCATTTTTCAGCTCTGTTATAATCTCATGGGATTGGATTTATGTGCAACTCATCATTGACTAAGAGGCCATTGCTAGCCAGGGTATGTGTGGGGTGGATTGGAAGAGCTTAAGAACATTACTGAAACAGGTGCCCACCTAGAGAGGACACCCCAGACTCGCAGACTGCTAACCTGTACACAAGCATGCTGTATTGTTCTTCCTGTTTCTTTTTTTTGTATGTTTGCAATAAGCTCTCATTGGGTAACAGTAGCTCATGCTGCTTGCTATGTAGCAGAGGCTGGCCTCAAACCTGAGATCCTCCTACCCCATCCTCCCAAGTACTGGGAATATAGGTATATTACCCCCATGCCCACTCTTCCTGTTTCTCTTCTTCTCTGCCTCTCTTGTTTTCCTTTGCATTTTTCCCTAGTGTGTATAAGCTCCGTGTGTATGTGTGTGTGTGTGAAAGAGAGAGAGAGAGAAAGAGAGAGAGAGAGGGAAAGGTAGAGGGAGAGGGGGAGAGAGAGAGAGAGGTCTGTATAAGCCTACTCCTATGCTCCCAAGCTTACAGTGAGGGTAGAGGCCCCCTGGAAACTCTCACCGTGGAGTTTGGCTTCTATGAAGGTCCAGATTGCTTGGGCCTCTCTGTGTGCTCGGGTTCCTCCTAATGACTCTGCTCAGCTGTTGCTGCCACCACCTTTCAGCTGTGATGCTAACCAGCATCCTGCCTTCTGCCTCCTGGGCACTGATTCAATTAGCCAAGGTGCCCAGCTCCTGCAAGGGCTATTTATGAAGTCAGCTGGGGCAGCTGGAGAGCAGGGGTGGGGTGCAGCCGGGAAGCAGGGGTGGGGGCAGAGAGCTGGGCGGAGGCAGTGGAGGAATGAGGAGACTTAGGAGAGGGTGTCTGATCTGATTAGGCATCAGGCTGGCCTCCCCCTGGCAGGCAGCTGTACATCACTGCCCGGCTCTGGTCCTCCACTGGCCGGCACAGAGCAGAGCCCATCCATCTCCAGACTCTGACCAGGCGGCTCTCCTCTTTGCCTCCCTCCCACCCTGGAGCCTCTTCCTAACAACTAGCTCCAGGATCCTTCATCTGGAGGTGTCTGGTGGGGACTGAAGGGGAGCAGATGGGGCACACAGGGTGCTGATTTGTGGGGGAAGTGAATCCCCCAGAGTGGGGTTAGGGAATTC